TTCGGTTAAGCAGTCTTAGTTTTCTAAGAAAAGGATCAACCCAATTTTTGTCCTCCTTTACAGCTTGATTCCAGCGATCCTTAAATATTTGAAGTTCCCACGTTGATTGCCTTCTAATCTGATCAGTCCATTAAAAGAAAACCAAAGTTAATCGAATTACTGAAATGATAGCATAGTAGCAAAGTAACAGTATTAGACCATGCTTGATATCAGAACATACTATTCTATCAGTTTTTAATAGCCGAATATGAGTTGCAGATCTCAACAAAATTAGAATCAGCCAAAGAGCATAACTTGGAGAATATGTAAACAATCAAGGTAGCAATCCTAGACTACTTGGCAGCTCTTCTGCCTATTGCAGGCATTTCATGTCAAGTAGAATAGAAGTATTTAAAATGCTCAAAACATAGACTAGAGGACTATTCTCACCTCCATCCTAGGATCCATGCCTGTAGCACTGTGTCTCTGAAAGTCAGGAGAGAATAAATCAAGAAAGGGAAGGTGAAAATTATAGGGAATTAATTGATGCAGCTACAATATAGCATTGATGAAAAAAGATCGTCTATTACACCAAGTATAGTTTACCTTAGTCAACTCTTCTGTATTTGACGCCTAAACAGAGAGAGAGCAAGATGATATTAATAATAGAAAATAATAAGCATGTGGACTAAAAACACCTAATAAGAAAACAACTGTAATTCCTTTTATTTTCTTTATTTTTCCTTGAGAGAAAAAGGCGAGCAAGATGACCTTTCTTTCAGGGGGTCCATTCCCACCCAGAGTTTGTATGCCCTTGTGAACAATATATTCACTATCAACAACTCCCACCTTCTTCGTGCGATCTCCCTGCATAATGCCACATCTATCAATGCTATCATAACATTCTTTTCTACATTCACAAGTATACATGGCAAACAAGATAAAGAAATAGATAAAACAAAAAGGTCATCAAGCATTAAAGTACATGAAAATAGGGGTTTGGTTCTATACTTGTCATGTGGTAAACAATGGTTAATAATTATTCTAAGAAAAAGGATCAGTGAGTTACCTTGTCAGCACACTGACTTATTTATATCTGAATTTACTCTCAATTCCTAATTAACATAAAATGACTTCCTTCTAGTGAAAAGGTGCTAAGTCCCCAGGAGGCAGAAAAAAAGAAAAAGATCAACTTTTCAATCCTAGCATCTTATGGAAATGGTCTTTGCCAGTGGGTTACAGTGAGGGCATGGCAAGAAGATTCTCTAGCGTGCTAATGATTGTTGATAGCCATAAAATTCTTCCTCCAAAACCACTCATAATCCATCACTCTTCATGAAATTTTCTTACATTTTCCATATCCACTACACAATTTTTATGCTGCTTCATGAAACCACATTTATTTGGCAATAGCCATACCTCCTGCAACCTTTCCTACTACTATCTTAGTTCTGAAAATAACTCTGTTAGCAGCATTGAGCCAAGAATTGGGGGGGAGGAAAATAGTCAGAGAAACTGAAAATAGTCCCAGAAATATCATGTTCAACATACCTGCGCACAATATCCAAGTTTCATATCCATTCCCCATCCATGGACTAGATCATTCTGGAAATTAAAAAAGGAAAAGAAAAGAAGTTCCATGATGTGTTAATCAACCTTAAGGCAAAAGTGCACTTATTTGCAATCACGCTATAGTGGGTAGAGTAGAGCTTAACCACGTGTCCATATCTTCCACCTCACAAAGTAAGTTATATGCAATGCACCATTTATTTACAGAAAAGTGTTTTATTGGAAAATATTTTCCTAGGTTTGGTGCAGCTAGGTAAAATGAGTCAAAGGAACTCATTAGGAAAATATTTTCCACATACTTGCCACATCATCAGAAAACAACTCATCTTTTCAAACAATATTCCCCATAGAATTCTTTTTTTTTTTCCAAAATCAATTTGTTTTGCTAGACAATATTCCCCATAGAATTCTTCTTTTCTTTTTTTTCCAAAATCAATTTGTTTTGCTGCAAGCAAACAAGGCCTAAATCCTAAATGTTTCTCAACCAAATTTCACATGAGACAACCTGCTTAGACTAAGAGCATCAAATAGCAAGTCCAGCGGGGATCGCTGGCTTATTGATAGTGTTACATAAAGGGACCTTTTTTTACTAGAACAATCAAAACTTACATTACCTGTATAAGATGCCAAGCACAGTACCAAGCAGATCTTGAAAATACTGGAGCCATACCCTCCACAAATCTACAGATGTGACATAAATAAAATTAGGATTGCTACAATCCTTACAAGAACAATAAAGTACGTCCTTCAATGGGTATCACAAGTATTGAAGTTCCGTGAAAAAGATGAACTCGAGGTGTAGCTTCTCGAACAGTCACTAAACAGAACTTCTAGTACTATTTGACAGAATATTAGATTAGTCATCCAACAGCTTAAGTTGTTGGATAAAACCTCAAAATATGATTTATATAATTTTCTAACATGTCCTTTCAAGTGAAAACTCTTGGAGCTTAAAATTTGCAGCCCCACACTACTGGATTTAATTTTTATCAAATATAATGAGGTGGTGAGATTTGAACTTGTGACCACTTAGTCAACAAGGTTATGGTAACTTACCAAAGAATCATCTCAACCTAAAAACTTAAGTTATTAGGTGAGGCCTCAAAATATGATTTATATAATTCTCTAACAGTCAAATTTTCAAAAGAAAAAAAAAAGAAAGAAATGATGTTTAGGAACTTTTCAAAAAAAAAGAAAGAAATGATGTTTAGGAATGTCAAATGGAAAGAAAATTAAATAACTGAAAGTTAGCCACAGATGAGGCAGTAACTGAAATAAGTAGAAGTCAGAAACATAGGATTGCACCAACTTATAAAGAGCAAACGACAAGACATCACAACTACAGGAATGCAATAGGTTACCCAGTGCATGGCGGCCCCTCACTGACATCAGAACATTTGGTGCTGCCTCTGCGTTCATAAACTCTTCTGCTCATGGTAAATTATTTTGTATAAGAATTACAATTTTCTACAGAAATTTTAATTAAGTAAAAGCCAAGCCATTCACCTATGAAACTTCTTTGTTCTGGCACGAATAGTAATTCTATGATGTATTTCAGTTGAATTTGGGTCCAAAGCTGGCTGAGATATCTCCAGTCCTTCATATCTCACAATTTTCAGGTATCTAGACAAAAATTAAAAGAAAATAGAATTATAAATCAATCTTGTTTTTTAAGAAAGAGCTTGAGCCTATTCACTTACATTCTCATAAAAAAAAAATTCAAATCAAGTAAGAGCATGGAATTGGTGAACTCCAACAATCCTTGGTCTCTCTCCTAAATTATGTAATTCCAAATTGTCCTAGATATAATAATACCAAGATGGTTCACCAAGTAAAATAAACCCTCCTAGCATAAACATCCTTAGCAAAAGATAATCCTGTTCCAGCAAGAGTTTGGAGAGCAGAATAAATTGTATTCGTTAACGATCCAAAAGACATGATAAATGAAAGACAAAAATTGAATCATGGATATCTGTAAATGATTGGTAAAATATAATAAAAATGGGAATGACGATGAGAACAAGCCAAGTAGTTTCTAATAAATTGGAGCACTGAGAAGATCCTAATTGATTAATGTTTGTCAGACTTAGCTATAAGTCACAAGTTTATATTGTAGTGACAAAAGGCAAATATAAAGACAACCCATTACCAAAAGCTGGCATCATAAACATATGAAAGAGAGAAATGTCCAGCAAACTAACCTTCCTGGATTAAAATGCTCTACCCCCAGATCTTCATCCCATAGAAATACGTAATCATAAATAGACACAACAGCTGGATGCAGAAAGCGTTTTGCAAACCACCTGAAAAGCAAAGAAAGAGAGTTTCTTTTTAGAAAAAAGCATGGACAATCCAGGAAAAAAAAATAATTTGTCTTCTTTTCATGAGTTTAACCCATGAAATCAAAAAAATTCTTTTCATGAGTTTAACCCATGAAATCCTGCCTCCATCTGAACTTTGAGGCTAAATGATTTTGCACCATTTGCTATAAATTAACACTGAAACAGTGTTAATCATCCGTTTACACCATACAAAGAATGGTGGTAAAAAGTAACCAAAATGGAAATTATCACGGTTGAACATACCACTTTGTTTGGTTCTTAGCAGCTATGTGTATGACTTCATTACTCCAGGCTAGATCCCACCACCCATCCACTTTGCCATCATAATGAAATAGAATAACTGTAAAATTCTCTGGAAGAAACTGAATTCAATGATATTAGGCAAGAAATGTTAAGTTGATGAAACAAAAACATTAGACAAGACAGTGTGCAATACTTTTTGGACAATACGATTGACATTATCCTTTTGCTTGATGCCAACTGGAATTGCCAGCAAGAATCGACGGGTAGAAGGATATGCCTGCATTTGAATTCCAAAATAAGTCAAGAATAACACTGCATACATGTTCAATGTTGTTCCAGCACAAGAATCAAGCACTGTTATATAAATAATCCAAATTTATATGGTCGGAAACAAGAACAAAATTCAGACACAACCTAGAATTGATGGCACAATTCAAACTTCAAAGGGAAAAAAAAACAACCTTCAACTTTGAACTACTTGTTGACCACAGAGGCTTCAGCTCCAAATCTGAGTTTGCTCGTATAATACCATGAGGCAAACCAACCAACAGCCCAGATGCCAAGGCAGATTCCTAAGTCAAAGCACCGGAAGCATCTTCAGATACTGATGAAAATAGAACAATTACAGTACTTTGGAATTTTAATTGGTAGCTCTGAAATTACCTTCAATGAGTCAAAGGGGTACAATTTTTCTTCCATCTGACAATGGTGGAGAAAAACAAGTCAGCAAGCCTTCACCAGGATGTGAGATAAAATGGTAAGAGTTCAGCAGAAGCAACACCATTAAAACACACAGCTAGAGCTGAACCTATTTTGAGTGTGAAAAATGCAGCTTAATCTGTACCTAGGGGTAGATACAACAACAGAGAAGCTGTAGATGGACCAGCAAATGACACAAGAAGTTATTGAGATTCTGGACTTGACCATACTAAGTTACATTTCTTTCAGAAGTTTGAAATCATTGTCACCAAGTATCTTCTATATCATAAATATTGGAATTAATGCCTTCATGAACACAAATAAAAAAAATCATCAAATCATTCACCAGAAGAGAATTAAGAGCACATTTTAGCTACTTGATTGATACTTGTAAGTTAAAATATGTATAAACTTGATGGGATTTCCATACCTCTGTGTGTTTATACTGATATGTTGTGGTTCTATACACAATGAACAACATAGTTGTAAACAAAAATCCCATAAACGGCAGCTGCTTCATCTTTAATCTGAATTTTACCTGCACCAAGCCGACAAAATTACATCTTAGATGACTACCAAAACAAAGGCAGATTCTGTAAAAATTCCACCTTCATAGATGCATCCAAGACTGAGAAGCTTAAGTATCGCATGCCATACCCCATCAAAGTAGTTCCTTTTTGGCAATTTCCATGATCTGAATGACATCATAGACAGTCAAAGCTTTTACAGTGTTCTCATAACAAACTGCAGCCAATGCAAAAAAATGCTGAGACCAATATCAGAAGCAACCCTGATCAAATGCTACTACAACTTTTCCAATAGAAAAAATATTTATGGTGAAAAAATTGCAATTTCACTTTGGGCATAAGATAAAGTTCTAGCTTGATCAAAAGCCCAACAAACAATTGTGTAAGCTGTTTTAGCCCAATTTCTTAATTAAGAAAGATTCCCAGAAACCCCCTCTATTGACTGTTACTCAATTTTGAAGAACCTTTAATATTCATACTCTCTTTCGGCATATGAACCTCAATTTTCACAGTAACCTTGATAAAAGGTCAAAAATTGTGAGAAGCAAACTTGAATTGGCATCCCAAAATACCCAGAAAGAGAAATGGAAATTAATTTTGTAGTTAGGTAGCTTGACTAGTTGCATGCATGCGATGTCAGTGAAATGCAAAGAAAGAAAGCTTAAACCTTTACTGATCAACTTGTTATTAATGCTAACATAGATTATATGAACTATAGATTCTTGAAATCTCTACTTAATCCCACAAGGAAATAGAAATTTAACAACGAACACTGAATAGAGACATTCCCTCTTCAAAAAATTACCAAATAAACTTGTCAGATGATTTTTTTTCTTTTCTTTAATAAAAAAGGAAACGAATCTACTTTCAGCGAAAAAGCAGAGTCTTTTGATATTCATACCTAATAAATCTATCAATCTAGATAACCCAAAAAAAAAGTTTCAGATCTCGTAAACAGAGAAAAGACAAATTTCCAGTTTTATCAGATAATTTAAAAAAAAAAACTCTCAAACTTTCAAGAAATAAAAAGAAAAAGAGGATTCAGCAGCAGCATTGTAGCTATGAGACTATAGCTTGTAAGGATTAAACGGAGAAGGAAGAAAAGATGACAAACCTTGAAATAGAAAAAGGGTAAAAATCGGCGAGAAAAAGCAGCTGGTAATACAAAGTACTAGTAATCAAGAAGAAGCAATCTTGCGGGAAGCAGACAAATTTTGGGGCGTCTGATTCCGAAGATCTTGAAACATCAGAGAAGGTAGTGTGATAGAAGAGAGAGAGAGGGGGGGGGGGGGGGGGGGGAGAAGAAATGAGAGGTTTACAGAGAGAAACGAAGAGATTAACGTGTAAGAATCACCGTACTCCTCTCATTGTCAATTCTCAGGCAGCACAGTACCACACCACTTTGTTGTTTAATTTGCTATTATTTTTATAGTAATAATGATAGTAAATGAATAAAAATAATTCTTTTGCATGCCGTGTTTTGGGGTTTTGACGTGTCTGGAAAATGAATTTCAAAGAGACGGTGACAGAGAGAAACAAAGAGGTTACAGAGATTTGTATTGACCTCTCATCTGTTCATATCTTGACTTAGGCGTCGTTTGTTAACTTTTAACAAAAAAAAAATATTTTTTTAATATATTTAGATTGTATTCACAATAAAATATTTTTTTAATATATTTAGATTGTTTTTAATATATTATTATTAAAAATAAATTTTAAAAAATAAAAAAATAATATTTTAAATTATCCTCTTTGACAATAAAAAACCAACTTAGAACACAAAAGATATTTTGGATATAAAATATTTTTTAAAAATAATTTCAAATATATTTTATAATTTCATAATATTTCAAAAGAGTTATTGTAGTATATCCTCAATAATATATAAGAAAAAAAAATACCTAACCAAACTTTTTTATTTTAATATTAATTAGAATTTTTAAAATTATTTTACCTTGCAAGATAAAAGATTTTAAAAAATAGAATACTAAGTTAAAAAAATTGATATAGCAGTATAATTTATTCTTAAGAAACAATGAATTAACACAATTTCAGCTATTCAAGTTTTCTGGTCATCAAATTTATGCAAACCATGGTTTTGTAGTTCGATAATTTAATTTATTATGAAATTAAATTTTTTTATTAGTGTTTTGATAATTATCATGGTTTTAAATTGTGATATTAATTTAAAATTATTTTTTTCAATCTTAACTTCTTTATATATCATTTAAAGTTAACAAGTAATTAACTTGTTTTTAAAACAAGTGTAGCTCATTTGGATAATTTTGGATAATTATTGACAATCTTTCTTGATATTTTTAAATTCATTCCATCATAATCTTTTTAGCATTATTAATAATATTTACAATCGAGATTTTGATATGTTTCTCAATTTTTTTCTCTTTCCTCTATCTTTTTTCTTATCTTTTTAATTTTATCTTTTATATTATCATTCCAAGGAACAACATGAGTTATATATATCATATTACTCAATGGGGATATATATAAACCATACTACTTCACCTATTTATTTATTTATATATGTTATTTCATCAGTATTTTAAAATAAACATGCTAATATCCAAAAATAGCAAAAATCCTTTGACAGCATTAAAAAGTTTCACGTGTGACCAAGTGACAAGATTTTGAAACAATATAACACAGCCAATAGAATAATAAGGGCTGATTGATTAATGTTGGGTTTCGTGTGCAACGCAATCTAGTAGAGTCTCTTGTCGCTACTATAGATTTATTATATATAATTCCGGGGGCCACACTTTTTACGAATTCTTTAATATCCAGTAAAATAAATAAATAAAAAATAGAGACATAATTATCAGAAAAGCAGGGCGCCCGCGCCCAGATCGAAATCCAGATTGCTGTGCAGTGGTTGGCTTTACTGTTCAGCCACGGTGGTGTAAATTTGTTATTGGTCATGTAGTTCTTTTTAAAAAATTATTTTTATATTATTCTAATATATTAATATTAAAAATAATTTTTAAACTTAAAAAATATTATTTTAATATATTTTTAAATACAAAATATTTAAAAAATAATAATTACCAAGTTAAAATCGTCAATAACCATGCTGCTATGATGATGATTGCTGCCTCACTCATCTTGTTCTCTTTATTTTTTTACTTTATTCATAACTTTTTACATGCTATAATGACAAGGTGTATAGTATCGGTCATAGTTAATTGCCTGTAATCTGCCACTAGTCGGATTGATTTTTAAAAAATATAAATAAAAACATCAAAAGTGATGATTTTTTTAATAATATTATTAATCTCATTACAATTAAAACCATTTTGAAATCTGGATTTAATTATTTTTCTAGCTTAAATTTTAAATTAAATAACATGAAAGTTAGACCTAATCAAATCAATTAATTTCATAGGTTTAAATACAATCTTAATGACTGATAAAAATATAATTTTGATTTTAAAAAATTTTAAAAAGATAATTATTTTAAAAAAATTAAAATGATAATATGTTAGATCGATCTTTATCCCTCCACAAGCCAGGTCATGGACTCTATTGAGTTTAATAATTTTTTTATTTGATTATATGATAAAAAAAATTATACTAAAAAAAATAAGTATTAATCTAAAAATAAACATTTATTTGAGACAATAATAACTTTATAGAAAATAAATGAAAATAAATCATGCAATTTATTTCCAAACTAATCCAATATTAAAAAAACAAAATAAAAAAACAATTAAGAGACAAAAAATAACATATTCGGTTAGTGGGTAAAATCGTCAAACTCGTAAACCAGGTAATTGAAACTAGCACGTCAAACTTGTGTATTTGGTTATGGACTTTGGTGGGATTATAATTTATTTTTATTAAATTATATGATAACAAAAATAGACGATTATAGAATTAAGCACCAACCCAGTATCAGCTTTTTTAAAACTATGATAATCTTATAAATAGCAAAATGAAACCAATTGTAAAATTTAATTCTCAATTAACCTCATATTTAAAGATAAAATTAAAAAAAATACTAAAAAGAAAACTAAACTAATCAAGCCCATGAACATGTCCATGAAATTTATAAAGTCCAATAACATAGATTTTCTCTGAATTTTTTTATTATTGCATGAGAAAAAAATAAACAATAAAAAAGTCAAGTTCAATTTAAAAACAAAAAAACACCACACTAGATCCATAAACCACGACAACCTAGGTTATCCAAGTTAACCTATAAGTCATGCTAACCCCATAGAAAAGCAAAAAAAAAAATCACAAAATTAAATTTTCAATCATTTTAATATTGAAAGATAAAATTGATGAAAAAAAATTGACAAAAGTAACAAAAGAAAAGGAAAAAAAATAGATTACCAGGTTTAATTATAAAAAGAAAAAAAACACCCCACGAAACCTGTAAACCAGGGTAATCTAAATTATCCCGTCAAACTCACAGATCAAGTTAACCCTATAAAGAGACAAGCTAAAAGGAAAAATATTATAAATCTAAATTCCTAACTCCTACAATATTAAAAGATGAAATTAATAAAAATAAAATTTAAAAAAATCATAACAAGAAAAAGCAAAAGAAAAAAAACACAAAACACTATAGATTTTTATTCTAATCCACAGTGCACTAGGTACGAGTGATCAGTAATTCCCACACACTTTAGTTTAGTGGCTTATAAACCATACCAAAAATACATTCAAGAGACAATTATGAGTTTAAAGAAGCGAGAGAAATTCGATAATCATGTTAAATCTTGAGTAACTTGATAATACAATTAAAAACAAGGTGATAATGAAAAAAAAAATTTTAAATATATATATTAATACAACCAAAGCTATGAAAAAGAAAACAAGACAAAAAAGATATTAACCCTTACTAACTTTTCAAACTCGTAACCCAACTTATCATACTAGAAGCATTATATATAAAAAAATTATGAAGCCTAATCCCTAAGAAATAAAACATTGAAGGATTAAATCATAAAAAAAAAAGAAATAAAAAGAAATACTAATTAAACGAACAATGGTTTAAATAAAAATAAAAAAATAAATTAAAGGGCAATAATATTTTTCAATTTGAAAAATGAATTGAAAATAATAATAAAATTATCGAGTGAAAAACAAAAGTTAGAAGAATGACATTTAAGATGAAAAAAAAAGTATTATAAACTTAGATTGAAAGTTGAAATTAAAAATAATAAAACTTTTATAAAAAAAATTAAGAACATATAAATTTTTTCAATGCATTTTTTAAATAAAAAACCCTAAATATAAATTGAAAAACATATTCATGCATATAATTAAATAAACAAAGAACCAACGTGTAAAGAAATTTTAAAAAGAAGTCCTTAATGATAAATAAAAACAAAAATAGAAAAGTAGAGAAGGAAATATAGACCAAAATATTTAATATTATATAAGCACAAAAAAAAAATTAAGATCCAAAATCAACTCGAAACAAAAAATCTTTCCAAACCCAAATATATTGTTTAGGCACTTTCAATGTAAAAAACACATAACTTGAACTCCTCTCGTCATATTTAATCATTTGAAACAAAAATCTACTATTTTGGTAGTAAAAGACGTCACAACAACAAGTTTTTTTCTCTAAACTAAAATCCGACAATCCCCTCTTTTTCCACCTAAAAAAAACTAAAAATGATAAAAATAAAATATGATATCAAAATAAAAATTTCTAAAATTAGAGGGATCGGTCACCTAGGGGGGAATCAAATGTATTTTTCAAATAAATTTAAAAGTCACCATCTATTTTACTTGTATTTTTTACTTTAATCCTCTTACTTTCAATTAAATTATCTCTTAAAAAAATACAATTAGGTGTTAATTTGGCGCACTTGCTTTAAAAAATAAATTTAAGGATCAAATTTTAAAATAAAAAAATTATTACTCTAATTTATAATTTTTTATGAGATGATGAATGGTTATTTCAGCTACAATATTTTTCTTACGAGGCTTGGTTTTTGTTAATAACTTTGTGAGTGTTTGGGTATTCAATAGCTTTTGTTTTTAGATGTATTTTAAAAATATTTTTTTTAAAAAAAACAACAAATTAATTTTTTTTTAGTGCTTTTTAATGATTTTAATATACTTATATCATAAAAATAAAAAAAAATAAAAACTATTTTGATCCATTTTAAAAAAAGAATATATCATCCATCACGATACTAAATAAACACTAAGGTTAAAATTGGCTCTATACAGATTCAATAGATTGTTGGAAAAAAATAACACATCAATGCTTTATATAGAGGTTAAAATTGGCTTAATCAAAAGAAATCAAAATCTAAAGAGGAAAAGTAATTAAAATCCAAAATCACCTAAAAATATTTCAAATAGTAAAAATAACATATTCTAGCTGTAATATGAGATTATTTTGAATTTCGATTGATTGATTATAGCACATCAGCTTCTATACAAAATCAGGTCTTTAAAATCATCTAACAAAACTTTGATCTTATCA